AGATGAAATAAGCTAAGCTAAGATGAGATGAGCAACGCTAAGCTAAAGGAACGTCACTGGGGGAACCGCGGAGCGGATGCCGGGGAAACCGCCCGGGGCGGTTTACGCTGCCCGGCCCTTTAAGCATACCGAGTAAGAACCCTTCTAGGCACAGCCTAGGTAGGGAATGAAAAGGACTCGCTCGTCGTCCTTCCTGCTCATTCTCCTCCTCACCTAGGGGCGAGGATGAAAAGAGGGTAGGCGGGAGAATCGGGGGAGATGAGCTGGATGTGGGAAGGGGGAGGAGGGGAAAAAGGACAAGAGGAGGAGGCGGAGGAGGAGGAGCCGAGCTCTACCCGACGGCATCGACGTCGTCGTCCCGCTGCCTCCCTCTCCGCGTTCTCCTGCGTTTCCTCCTCGTCTTCCTCCTTCTCCCCAATCAACATCCGCCTCGTCCTCTTCCTCCACCCCTCAGCACCACCACCATCACCATCACCATCACCATCACCACCACCACCATCATAATCATCGTCATCATCATCAGCATCCTCATCATCGGCATCATCATCACCACCGTCATCATCATCTTCATCATCGTTATCATCAACAGCATCATCTTCGTCATCATAAGCCACATCAACATCATCATGATCATCTCCAATAGCATCATCACCATCATCATCATCATCATGATGATCATCATCAGCAGCATCAACATCCTCATCAGCGTCAGCATCATCATCGTCATCATCAAGAACATCAGGATCATGAGCATGCACATGATCGGCACCATGCTCATAATCATACGCATCATCAGAATCAACAACATCATCACCAACATCTTTACTTCCGTCATCAGCATGGTTTGAATCAGATTCACCGGCGTCGCCATCGTCATCACCAGCAGCATGATCATCACCATCAGCATCATCATCAACATCCTCATCGGCATCATCAACATCATCACCATCACCGTAACTAACCATCGCCATCATCTCCATTATCATCATCATCACAATCAACATCGCCATCATCACCACAACCATGATCAACTGCATCATGACCGTCACCACCACCCGCGTCACCATCATCAGCAGCATCATCAACATCGTCATCATGAGCAACATCAACACCAGCATGGGCATCAACATCATCGTCAACATCGACATCAGCATCACACTCACCGTCACAATCATCATCAGCATCACCATCAGCGTCATCGACATCTTCTTCATCGTCGTCAACATCATCAGCGTTATCATCAGCATCAGCATCATCATCGTCATCATCACCACCAGCATCACATCACCATGAGCATCAGCATCATAATCAGCATCAACATCAGCATCATCAGCATCATCATCGCCTGTCATCGTCATCACCACCAGCATCAGCATCATCAGCATCATCGCCATGGTCATCATGACCATTCGCATGATGATCATCAGCATCATCAGCATTGTAATCATCTCACAATCGTCAGCGCAAACAGCATCAGCATCATCATCATAATCGTCATCATCGACATCATCATCAGCACAAGTATCATCATCTCGACCATCACCGTTTTCACTTCCACCAATATCACCATCCATCACCATCATCATCATACTACTCATACGCGTCATCAACATCACCAACATCATAATTAGCATCGTCATCATCATCATCAGCATCATCCTCATCACAACACTCATCATAGGTATAAACAACATCATCATCAACAACATCGCTTACACCCAAATAACCATCATACGTAATCGTCACCACCATCATCAGCACAATCATCATCACATTCACCATCGGCGTTGTTGTCATCCTCATGGTCAATATCACCATCACGATCAACATGATGATGATGATGATGATGATGAAAATGAAGATGAATATGATGAGGATGCTCATGATGGTGATCATCATCAGCCTCATCATCGTCATCACCATCCTTATTCTCATCATCACCTCATCATCACCACCACCATAACCAGCATCACCACCACCATCATCATCACCACTACCACCACCACCACCACCATCACCATCACCATCACCATCACCATTATCATCATCATCAGCAACAACATCATTATCCTCATCACAATCAGCATCATCCTCATCATCATCCCCCCATCGGGGGGGGGTCTCGACACCACGATACGACGCGGCTTCGAAATGCGGCCAGAATGTTGCCCCAGAAGCGGTGGGATACCCGATGTCATGCCTGGGCGCAAATTGCTCGGAGGGGCACCGGGAGAGGGGAAGACCACGAGGAATCACAGGAGGACGAGGAGGGGGGAACCAAGAGACGGAGAGAGGAGGGGTGAAGAGGAACACGACGTCGGCGGGCTCATCAGGGGCACGGGTCAGGGTTCGGCCGATGCTGACATTCCGAAAATGGCCCAAGCACCTCGAGTGCGCTCTAAAGCGTTGCATAGCACGTGGGGGGGCTCACGCGCTCCTCGGCGCACAAAACGAAGATATCCCTGTGAACAGAAGCGGAGAGGAACAATAGGATGGAGAAGCGCCTTTTGCATACTCTCTTGTGCCCTCGATGCATCACCGGCCATCCCTCCTACTCCCTCCCCATCTCTCCCGACCCCTCTCTCTCATATATAGACAAACGCATTATCCTACATCAGCAAACCTGTACAACATCATTCGCATACAGTCTCAATCATATCAACAAACCTGTTCAACTGATCCTCCTAGCCCTGGTCCTCCTCCTCGTCGCCCTCCCGTGTTGGTTCCTGCCCATCCTCCGCATACTTCATCGTCCTGTTCCTCCTCAGCCTGTCAATCGAAATGCTGTTGTGCTAGCAACATCTCCTCATCCTCCACCACATGGTTCCTCCACAACGTCCTCCGCCAATATCGTCATCAGGTCATCGCGATCATCGTGCTTCTCCTCCTCCTCCTACTCGACCTGGTTCTCCTCCTCCTCCTCCTCATCGTCCTCCTCCTCATCATCAGCAGCAGCATCCTACTCTTCCTCCTCCCTACCCTCTCCCCCCCTCCTCCCCATGTCCCCGTCCACCAAATCCACATCCTCCTGCTCCTCCTCGTCCTCCCCACTTGCCACCCATCATCCACCTCACCCTCGTCATCGTATTTTCCCCCCTGCATCTCCCATCTCCCCCTCCTCGTCCTGCTCCTCATCCTCCTCTTCCTCCTGCCTCAGTACCTCCACCCTCCCCTCCCATCCCTCATCCTCCCATCCCCTTCCCTCCCGTATCGCCCCATGCCCATGCCACTCCCATTCTCATCCTCATCCTCCCTCTCTCCCGCATGTGGCTCGCTCCCTCCCCCTCCTCTCCATCTCTCTCTCTCTCTCTCTCTCTCCCCCTCCTCTCCCTCTCTCCCTCCCCCTCCTCTCCCTCCCCCCCTCCCTGCCTCTCCCTCACCCTCTCTCTCTCTCTCTCTCTTTCTCGTCAAGTCGCCCCCCCCGTCTCCTCGTTGGCCTCGTCCTGCCCCTCTTGATCCTCGAGGATCCGCGCGCGTCACCTCCTCGGGCGCCCCAGTGCCTCCAGGAGCCCCCAGGCAGGCCCCGCACGCCAGCGAACCGGGCATCCCTAGCGGGCGGCGCCCCGCTGCGGCCAGGCGGCCTCGTGCCCCCGCCCTGGGCGGGAGGCGAGAGGCGGGAGGAGGAGAACGGCATGATGACGAGGAGGAGCAAAGGAGCAAGGGAGGGAGGGAGGGAGGGGAGGGAGGAATGAAAGAGGGAGGGAGGAGGGAGCGGGGGGGAGGAGAACCACGAGGAGGAGGAGGAAAAGGAGGATGAGGAGGAGGAGGAGGATCAGGAGGAGAAGGAGCGATCCCCAGACGCCCCCCCCCTGCAAACCAAACCCGAGGCGCCCCCCCCCGTTCCGGCGCCTGGAGCCCGCTGCCGCGTGCCCGCCCAACTCCTCGGCGACGCGCCCGGCGTGGACGGCTCTCTCGCCTGGGCAAAAACTCGCCATCGCTTGGAAGCCCATTCCCCGTGCATGTTTCGACTCTTCGCGCGCGCGCTTCACCGCAACATGATATCCGCAACATGGTTCGAAACAACAACTCATCGGCGGCCCTCGCGGGGGAACAATAAGAAGAAACACGTCCAAGCGATGCCATGCAAAAGGCGGGGGGGGGGAGTGCGAGGGGGTGGGGGGACCACGACGAGGTGGAGGGCGAGGTGGTGGGAGGAAGGGGGGCGGGGAAGGGGGGAACGGATGAGGCGCCAAGCCAGGATACCACACGATACGGATTTCATGTAATTACTTCTGACATGCCGCGCCAAACTATCGTGGGCGACCCACTGCCGTGGGCGACAACGCCGACCGGTCGGAACCTCTGACCGGGTCACGGGGAGCAGGGAGGCGGGGGGGAATTTGGAGGGGGCCGGGACGTCTGAGCTGGATGGGGCCCCTAAAAATCGATCGGGAGGGGGGGGGGCGACCACAAATCTGCTCCAAATCGGTCCCCGCGCCCCTCCCCTGGTCCATCTGGTGCAGTTTTTCCCCCCCCGGATCCGATTTTCACGGCCCTGGGCGGCCGAATGGGTTTTGCATCCTGGAGCCCATAACCTCGCCCACCTCATTGTTCGCTGGAACCCCAGCGGACTCCAAGAGGGAAAAATGAGGGCAGCGGCGACGAAGAAATGGAGAGCGACCATGAACCCCCGTTGTAAAAAAACAACGCTTCCAGACCTATAGTTGTGATGCGCATATATATATATATATATATATATATGTTTAAATACATGTTTATATGTATATATAGATATATAGAGATATGTAGCTATTCCCGGACTGCTTAAGGCCTCGACAGGGTGTTGGACGTCGACGTCCTGGTGGTATTAAATCGGGCCTGTCCTCCTACAGGGGGATTTGGGACGAATAATAAAAAATAGTCCAACAATGCCCCCACAAATGGTCAAAACATATGCAACAATCGTCCCCTATGCTTTAAATAAACCAAAAAAACTAACAACGATTTTTGAATGTTCCCCCTGTAGAGGGACAGGCACGACTCAATGGTGGTATTTTCCAGCCCTCCTGGAAGGTCAGCGAAGGAGAGGGGACGGGCGGGGGGCGGGCAGGTCCGGGATCCACGCGCCCGTGGCACGCAGGGCACGCGTGGCGGCCGCTGCACGGAGGCCCGCCCGCATATACGCTCAAGTCGGGCCTGTCCCCCTACAGGGGGATTTTCGACTAAAAATACTAGAGAAATAAGCAAACAGAATGGAACAAATAATCAAAAAATAGTCCGGGGACTATTTCTTTAGTATTGGTTTACCCTTTGGGGGTAGCTTTGTTGGGTCGAAAATCTCCCTGTAGGAGGACACGCCCGACATAAGGATACGCTGCAGCTCGAGGACTGCGGCCGCGCATCAAAAGCAGAGCCCAACACCGAGTCCACGAATACGATCGGCGATCGCAGAGATCGGCAAACATCGGCAGCCAGGCCAGGGGAAGTCCAGCCGGCAAACATCGGCAAGCGAGTGAGCTTCCCTTGGGAAATCGGAATCCGAATCGGCATCCCAAGTCGAGTCGAGTCAGAGTAGGAATCAATCGGGATCGAATCGAAACGAACCAGGATAATCTAAACGAGTTCTGATCTGGGCCTTCTGCCCTGAGATCCTGGAGCTCAACCGCCAGATTGCTCGACGTAGAACTCACGGTCCTCAGCTCGACCCCGCTGATAATGAAATATCGGCGCCGGAGCATCACTGGGCGCGCGCGCATAATGTCGCGCCTGGGGGCCGTCGCAGACCGATCGAGCTCGAAAAACGGGTCGGAAGATGGGGCACGGGGCCCCGGTCGGGATTTCCACGATGTGGCAGTTGCTCGCGCCAGCGGATCTCGAGGTCGGGCACAGGGCCCCCCGGGAGCGGGAAGGCCGCGAAAGGCCCTCTGCCCCTGGGCCCCCCGAGGCACGCCGCCCCGAAGGAGCTTCGGAAAGTTCAGAAAAAGAGCAGATGCTGCAACCCGCTCCAGAGCCCACGCGCGCACCTTTGACTGAGGCCAGCGCTGCGCCTACAAGACGGCGCATGCCGTGGAGCCAAAGAGCCCTTCGGAGCCCGAGAGCCCGAGAGCCCACGCGCCCACTGCCAAGCTGGAGAAGGCCCAGAGCCTTCCTGCAACTTGGGCTCTCCGTCGCTGCCCCGGCGCGATCGCCTGCCCCAAAGGGCCCGCCGACTGCCGACCCGGCCTTCCTGAGGTGATTGGCCGTGGACCTCCTCGAGGCCCGCGTTTTGGAAGTGCCGCCGGCCGTTCTTCGAGGGGGCGCTGTCTTCTCTGGTAATCAACTGCCCCGCCTGGCGGCCGACGCCCAGCGTGCTCGCGACCCGCGCCCCGGTGCACTTCACCGCGGTGAATGACGCGCCCTCGCGCTTGGCTCCGAGGCCCGTTGCCTCGGCGCCCGCGCGCTGCAGAATCTCCTCGGCGAGCTGTGGGATCTCGTCCTGGAACGTAGCAGGCGCGAGAAATGGCCGCCGCCCCCGCCTAATGAGCGCAATCCTCAAACGAAGATCGCGAGGGGGGGATCGCCGCGGCGCGCGCGCTTCGCGCGGCATTCGTTTGCGAGAGGGCACCGCTCGCAACCGGGATGGGCCGTCCCTTCGCCGGCGCCAGGTCCTGGGCCGTTCACCTGGGCCGTTCGCGGGCTGGCGCGCGCCGTTTCCTCGGCGGGAGCGACAGTCTGCATGCGCGCTGGCAGCGAGAGCGGCCCAGAAGAGCTGAGTCCCCGACGAGGCGCGCTCCGTAGCAGTCGCGCACGCCAGAAGAACGTTACGGGGCTAGCGACCGAGGCGCCGCGTATCCATGGGTTTGACCACGCGGTTCTTCCACGCTGTAAAACAAGTCAACGAGGCGGAGATCCAGCGCGCGGGAGGCAGAGGCTCGAGCCCGCGGAGCTTGGGCCAGACGGCCACGGGCGAGCCACGGGGGGGCGCTCCCTTTGGCGCGAGATGCTCTGGCCCAGGACGCCCTGGCCACGGGGCGAGCCCGCTGGACGCACGCGCCCCGCGGTGGTCAGTAGTTTTGTCCCGTGGTCCGCACTGCACTCCGACATGATATTGTAATCTGCATCGTTCGCTTGCGGCTCGCTGCCGCGGCGAGCCTCCACCTGCGGGGGGGCTGCTGCAAAATTGAAAATCAAGGGGGGCGGTGCGGCAACGGTGGGTGGTGCGATTATCGCGGGCGCGTAAGAAATCAGCAGCGTGCACATGCCTGTTACACTGACAAGCGCACACTCTACAATGCGTGATACGTGGTCGGTAGTAGGTGGTGGCATGTTTGGCAAGTGCTCACATGAGTATAATGCTCTTTCGCCGCTCAACACATTTTTGGCTTACCAAGTAAATCTTCAAGGCGCCCCCTGAGCCCTCGACGTCGCCAAACCTTGGTTGGTCTTGCCACAGGCAACAGGGAAATATCAAGCCTGATGTTGGGTTCGAACCCGAGGGCTGGATGCCGAGGCCGGAAAGTCACGTTGCAGCCCGCTGGGGGCTGCACGCTCAAAGTTGTTGATAAGGCGGGTGCTGGGATAACTTGCTTGGCTGTGCAGCTGATTGCTCACAAAGCTAAGGCGTTTTGGCTGAGCCTCCTCCGCATCCTCTGCCTCCTCCTCCTCTTCCATCTCCTCCGGGTGATCCTCCATGTTCCCCCAGTTGGGGCATGGCGGCCTCCCCAACCGCAAGTTCTTCTGTATGGCACAGTAAGCTCATCCGCGCTCGTGCTCAGGGCAACTCGCCTGGACCTGGGCATCGCTATTGCATGGAAGTGAGACATGTGCTCAATGACGTATTTGTGAGCGCCGCGGCAGTGTGCGAGCGCCACAGTACGCCTGCAAACGCGCAGGCGCATGCATCACATCCTCCCCCCTTCTTCCTCCTCCTCCTCCCCCTCGTCCTCCACTCCTCCCACCCAGCCCCGCTCCCAACCAACCCTCAGGGTTCAACAGACTATGAAAACAGGGCCCGCCAGACCCAAGAAGGGGGCCAACCAGGCCTTGACGCAGGCATTCGGATCCTGTTCGAGTAT